GTGTCCTGAAAGGTATTGCCTAGGTTTTCTTCTATGGTTTTTATAGTTTTAGGTCTGATGTTTAAATCTTTAATCCATCTTGAGTTAATTTTTGTGTAAGGTATAAAGAAGGGGTCCAGTTTCAGTTTTCTTCATCTCTCTAGCCAATTTTCTCAACAACAACATTTCTTAAATAGGGAATCCTTTCCCCATTGCTTGTTTTTGTCAGGTTTGTCAAAGATCAGATTGTTGTAGATGTGTGATATTATTTCTGAGGCCTCTGTTCTGTTCTGTTGGTCTATATATCTGTTTTGGTACCAGTACCATGCTGTTTTGATTATTGTATCCTTGTAGTATAGTTTGAAGTCAGGTAGCGTGATGCCTCCAGCTTTGTTCCTTTTGCTTAGGATGGTGTTGGCTATTTTTGCTATTTTTTGGGTCCATGTGAAATTTAACATGGTTGTTTCTAATTCTGTGAAGAAATCAATGGTAGCTTCATGGGAATAGCATTGTTTCTATAAATTACTTTGGGTAATATGACCATTTTCATGATATTGATTCTTCCTATCCATGAGCATGGAATGTTTTTCCATTTGTTTGTGTTTTTTCTTATTTCCTTGAGCAGTGGTTTGTAGTTCTCCTTGAAGAGGTCCTTCACACCACTTGTAAGTTGTATTCCTATGTATTTTATTCTCTTTTTAGCAATTGTGAATGGGAGTTTGCTCATGATTCGTCTGTTTGTCTATTATTGGTGTATAGGAATGCTAGTGATTTTTGCACATTAAATTTATATCCTGAAACTTTGCTGAAGTTGCTTATCAGCTTAAGGAGTTTTTGGGCTGAGATGATGGAGTTTTCTTTTTTTTGAGACAGAGTTTCACTCTTCTTACCCAGCCTGGAGTGCAATGGCGTGATCTTGGCTCACTGAAACCTCCGCCTGCTGGGTTCAGGCAATTCTCCTGGCTCAGCCTCCTGAGTAGCTGGGATTACAGGCACGCATCCCCATGCCCAGCTAATTTTTTGTATTTTTAGTAGAGACAGGGTTTCACCATGTTGACCAGGATGGTCTCGATCTCTTCACCTCGTGATCCACCTGCCTCGGCCTCCCAAAGCACTGGGATTACAGGCTTGAGCCACCGCGCCCGGCCAGAGTTTTCTAAATGTACAATAATGTCATCTGTGAACAGAGATAATTTGACTTCCATCTTCCTATTTGAGTACTCTTTATTTCTTTCTCTTGCCTGGTTGTCCTGGCCAGAACTTCCAATAATATGTTGAATAGAAGTGGTGAGAGAGGGAGGGCATCCTTGTCTTGTGCTGGTTTTCAAAGGGAATGCTTCCAGCTTTTGCCTGTTCAGTATCATGTTGGCTGTGGTTTTATCATAAATAGCTCTTATTATTTTGAGATATTTTACATTAATACCTAGTTTATTGAGTGTTTTTAGCACGAAGAGGTGTTGAATTTTATCAAAGGCCTTTTCTGCATTTATTGCAATAATCATGTAATTTTTGTCATTGGTTCTGTTAATGTACTGCATTATGTTTATTGATTTGTATATGTTGAACCAGCTTTGCATCCCAGGGATAAAGCCAACTTGACTGTGGCACATAAGCTTTTTAATGTGCTGCTGGATTCGGTTTGCCAATGTTTTATTGAGGATTTTTGCATTAATGTTCATTAGCGTTATTGCCTTGAAATTTTCTTTTTTTGTTGTGTCTCTGCCAGGCTTTTGTTTCAGGATGATGCTGGCCTCATAAGGTGAGTTAGAAAGGATTCTCTCTTTTTCTACTGTTTGGAATAGTTTTAGAAGGAGTGGTACCAGCTCATCTTTGTACCTCTGGTAGAATTTGGCTGTGAATCCATCTGGTCCTGAGCTTTTTCTTGTTTGGTAGGCTATTAATTACTGCCTCAATTTCAGAACTTGTTATTGGTCTAGTCAGGGATTTGACTTCTTCCTGGTTTAGTCTTGGGAGGGTGTATGTGTCCAGGAATTTATCCATTTCTTTTAGATTTTCTAGTTTATTTGTGTAGAGGTGTTTATAGTATTCTCTGATGGTAGTTTGTATTTCTGTCAGATCAGTAGGGATATTCCCTTTATCATATTTTATTGTGTCTACTTGACTCTTCTCTCTTTTATTCTTTATTAGTCTAACTAGTGGTCTATCTATTTTGTTAATCTTTTCAAAAAACCAGCTCCTAGTTTCACTGATTTTTTTTGAAGGCTTTTGCGTGTCTCTATCTCCTTCAGGTCTGCTCTGATTTTAGTTGTTTCTTGTCTTTTGCTAGATTGTGAGTTTATTTGCTCTTGCTTCTCTAGTTGTTTTAGTTGTGATGTTAGGGTGACTATTTTAGATCTTTTCCACTTTCTCCTATGGCCATTTAGTGCTATGCATTTCCCTCTAAACACTGCCTTAGCTGTGTCCCAGAGAGTTGGTACGTTGTATCTTGGTTCTTATTGGTTTAAAATAACTTACTTATTTCTGCCTTAATTTTGCTATTTACCCAAAAGCCATCCTGGAGCAGGTTGTTCAGTTTCCATGTGGTTGTGCAGTTTTAATTCAGTTTCTTTATCCTGCATTCTAATTTCTTTGTACTGTGGACTGACAGACTGTTATGATTTTCATTTTTTTTTGCATTTGCTGAGGAGTGTTTTGCTTCTAATTATGTGGTCAATTTTAGAATAAGTGTCGTGTGATACTGAGAAGAATGTATATTCTGTTGATGTGGGGTAGAGAGTTCTGTAGATGTCTATTAGGTTTCCTTGGTCCAGAGCTGAGCTCAAGTCCTGAATATTCTTGTTAATTTTCAGTCTCATTGATCTTTTTAATATTGACACTGGACTTGTTGGAGGGTGGAGGTTAGGAGGAGGGAGAGAATCAGGAAAAATAACTTATGGGTACTATGTGAATAAAAGGACACTTCTGTTGCTTTTTTTTTTTTTTTTTTTTTTGAGATGGAGTCTCATTCTGTTACCAGGCTGGAGTACAGTGGCATGATCTCAGCTCACTGCAACTTCCGCCTCCCAGGTTCAAGCGATTTTCCTGCTTCAGCCTCCCAAGTAGCTGGGACTACAGGCATGTGCCACCATACCCAGCTAATTTTTGTATTTTTAGTAGAGATGGGGTTTCACCACATTGGCCAGTATGGTCTCAATCTCTTGACCTTGTGATCCACCCACCTCAGCCTCCGCAGGTGCTGGGACTACAGATATGTGCCACTGTGCCTGGCCTGCATGTTTCTTTTAAAAGGTCAAAAGAGACTGGGCACTGTGGCACACACCCGTAATCTTAGCACTTTGAAAAGCTAAGGCGGGCAGATCCCTTGAGCCCAGAAGTTTAAGATCAGCCTGGGCAATATGATGAAACCCTGTCTCTACCAAAAAAAAAAAAACAAAAAAACAAAAAACCAGAAAAAATAAAACCCCAAAATTATCTGGGCCTGATGGTGCTTGCCTGTAGTCCCAGGTACTTGGGAGGCTGAGATGGGAGAATCACCTCAGCCTGGGGAGGTTGAGGCTGCAGTGAGCTGTGATTGTACCCCTGTATTTCAGGCTGGGTGACAGAGGGAGACCCTCTTTACAGAGTGAGACTTTATTTCAAAAAAAGAAAAAAAAGTCAGAAGAAAGCACAGCATAATAAAAATAATTGTTATATTTGGTAATTGTCAAATATAGTATTTTAAATATTCTCTATTGTCAACATGACAGCTAAACACAGTGTCATGTTTATACATACATAATAATAAATAATAAGTAATAACTTTTGTCATAGATTTACTGAATGTTTGCCTTTTTTGCTGTTATTGTTAAATTGCCTGTTTGAATCCTTTGCCTGCATTTCTATTAGTGTGCCTAGTGTATTGATTGAGAGTTTTGTTTGGCCATGAATAACACCAACCTGGAAACAGTGGCTTAAATAAATACTTTTATTTTTTTCTCACAGAACGAAAAGTCCAGAAGTCAGAAATTTATGATTGGTAGTGTCTCCATGTCAGCAGAGAAATTGACTCATATTTTTCCATTAAGCCAACCCTGGCATGTGCTTTTCATCCTTGGGATTGTGGGATGGCTGCTTTGCTTCCAGAATTGAGTCCATGTTTCAGGCAGGAAGAAATGAAAGAGCCAAGGACAAAATGCCCATGCCAATCAAGTCTCCCCTCCCCTTCTCTTCCCATACATTTTAAAGAGCCTTCCTGGAAGTCCCACCAAAAACTTCACCCCCACCCCTTTTTTGTTCAGTCGTCAGAACTAGGTCAGATGATGACTTCTATCTAGGACATTAGCAGGGTTTGTTTAATCTTTCCCCCAAACTGGAGTTCTGTAAACATGAATAAGAATGGATGCTGGGAAGAGACGAGTAGGCTTTTGTAGTTGGCAGACAATGATGATAACAATAGTGATGATGATTATAATAAAAATAATTATAGTTACCATTTATTGAATATGTGCCATGTGCCAGGTCTGTAAGATTCATACATTTTTCTTGTTTAATCTTCTCCCAAATCCTTAAAGTACTTGCGTTGGCACCCATTTAGAGCTGAGGAGCTTGAGACTCATTAAGGTGGAGTAACATGTTGAAAGTCATGCAGGGAGCAGTGCAAACTTGAGTCCAGTTCTATTTAACTGTGAAGATTGTCTGGAACTGTCCTGGCTTTAGTAGTGAAAATCTCACATTCTAGGACACCTGTCAGTCATGAAACAGCATGGCAGGGGTCACCCACTGAAGCTCAAATAGTATTAGAGTATGAGTTCAATTAAAGTTTTTTGAATGGTTAATTTAATAAGTGTTATTTATCATTTATAATAAATTTAAAGACTTGCAATACATTTAAGAATACAACCTTTTAGTCATATGTATTTTTCTTTTGCTTTGTAGCTTTTATGACTCTTTTTTATGTACAGATGTTTAAAACTTTTATTCATCAAATATGTTTTCCTTTATCATTTTGTCCTTTGCCTTTATATTTAGATATTCTTTCCCATGCTATTGACCAAAAACATTTTCTTCTGGTTCTTTTACAGTCTGTTTTGAAATTCAAAGTGTAAAATGGGGATATGGAGGAATGGGCAAGACTTGAATGCACATGTTTCGTCGCCCAGGTTTGGGTGAGTGTTTCAGAATCCTATGCTTGTATGTTTGAAATGTTCATCTCAGGAACTGATTTAAAATCCATCTCTGAAGGGAATGAAAACTCCAATGCATTGCCAATGTGCAGTGCACATGTATCTGATCTGCAATCGGCAATCATGTCAAAATTTGTCAGCTCATTTCATATTCTTTTTAACTATCCTTTGATTAAGGGAGTGCTGTATCAACTTATGTGAGCCTGCAGTCAAATCTACCTTCAAATTATTAGCACCTGGTGAGAAATGTCCTTCCCATTCTAAACACTAGTTCATCATGTCTTATTTGTAATTCATTTGATGATTTTGATATGTCATTATAAATACTATATGTAACTAAGCCTTTACACTGAAGCTTTGTTCTTATAAAAATGGCAGAAAATGTGAATTGCATACTCTGTCTCTGATACAGATGTGTGGATCTAGACTAAGCAGGTGTGGTGCTAGGCTGAGTAAATCACCAGTTCCAAATGTCTTTATGTTGGGAAACATGATGTCATTCATGTTTATCTTGTACCACTAGGTATAATTTAGTTTGCTAGCCCATGGAGTGGGAAAATATTTGTGAATTCACTGTTATTGACAAATAATTATTAGAAAATAAAATTTACACTCTAGTCCAGGTGTTGGAAAACTTTTTGAAAAGGGCCAGATGACAACTATTTCAGGCTTTGCTGGCCATAAGATTTCGATTGCAACCACTCAACTCTTTGTAGCAGCAGTAGACAAACATAAACAAATGGGCTTGGCTATGTGCCAATAAAACTCTATTTGAAAAACAGGTGGTCTACATGGTTTGGTCTGCAGATTGTATTTTGCCAACTACTGGGTAGTCAAATAATTCCTTCTTTTACAATTATTTCTTTTTTTCAGAATTCTTTGAAAACTATGTATTAGATTTCTAATTGTTGTATAACACCATTTATCATTTCAAAGGTGGGAATTTGTTGCTATACTGGAAAATATTAAACAACTTCTGTCATTGATACTTTAAGACTTTGACTTGAATGTCTTAAAGTTAAATTGGAAAGTCCTTTGAAAATTCTTTGAAGGGAAGTATTATAGTGTAAACAATTCAGAATTGTTTGTTAGGGATACGTTGTGCCAATTGCAAGTGAAAAGTTAGTTTCTCAAAGCTTCTTTCATATTAGTGGCCCATAGCTTTCTTCCCAAACAGATCTTTCTATCTTCTGCCAAAAAGCTGGATATAGCTCTTAGTTTCAGTGGGGTCCATGCTTAGAGGCATGAAAGCATATGGATGCCACACATTTGTTACCATTTATCTCTACATATTCACAAAAATTGAACACTCCAGAGCTCTAAATTACAAATTTGGATGGTCTGCCTTATTATAGAGTTTCCACATCATAAAGGCAACATGTGCAAGATTCATCATCAATAGCATTGCTTCATGCTTTAATAAATAAGAATGACTGACTGGAACTTTTATGTCTTTTTTTGTTGGATTCTCTAATGGTATAGACTGTAACCTGAGTGTCAATCTCTAATTGGTTATCATTAATCACATTTCAAAGCTAAATACAATTGGGGGATGTAGGTTTTATATTTATACGTACATTTATATGTATATATTTTATATTTATATGTCAAAATATGTACATTTTTAGTGGTATGCAATAGACATAATGTATATATGAAGAAACAATATTTATATATATATAATTTTTAATAATCAGTCTCCTCTGGGCCCCAAATATAAATTTTTATTTCTGCAAAATTTCAATGCTATTAGTGCTGAAAGGAGGTTGGAATTCATACTTTGAAAGACTTCATAGTCTGTGACAGGGCTTTTGTTGTTGTTGTTCTTGTATTTTTTTGTTTCTATAGTCTTGGCAGACATTTGTTTATTGTTTCGTGGTTGGCCGATTTTTGGAAGAATCCTCAAAGCAATTGGAGATAACATATAACAAAGTGGATGTTCAAGCTGAGGATTGTTATCTTTGTTCAAAGATCAGGTGTAATTTTATAGCAATACAACTGAGTTTTTCCTGTTTTATAATGTAACTTTAAAAGTGTATAGCACTAAATGCCCACAAAAGAAAGTGGGAAGGATCTAAAGTTGACACCCTAATATTACAATTAAAAGAACTAGAGAAGCAAGAGCAAGCAAATTCAAAGACTAGCAGAAGACAAGAAATAACTAAGATCAGAGCAGAACTGAAGGAGATAGAGACATGAAAATCCCTTCAGAAAATCAATGAAGCCAGGAGCTAGTTTTTTGAAAAGATGAACAAAATAGATAGACCACTAGCCAGACTAATAAGGAAAAAAGGAAAGAAGAATCAAATAGGCAGCATAAAAAATGATAAAGAGGATATCACCGCTGATGTCACAGACATACAAACTAACATCAGAGAATACTATAAACACCTCTACACAAATAAACTAGAAAATCTAGAAGAAACGGATAAATTCCTGGACACATACACCCTCCCAAGACTAAACCAGGAAGAAGTCGAATTCCTGAATAGACCAATAACCAGGTTCTGAAATTGAGGCAGTAATTAATAGCCTACCAACCAAAAAAGCCCAGGACCAGATGGATCACAGCCAAATTCTGCCAGAGGTACAAAGAGGAGCTGGTAACATTCCTTCTGAAACTATTCCAAGCAACAGAAAAACAGAGACTCCTCCTTAACTCATTTTATGAGGCCAGTATAATTCTGATACCAAAATGTGGCAGAAGCACAACAAAAAACGAAAATTTCATGACAATGCCCCTGATGAATATTGATATAAAATCCTCAATAAAATATTGGCAAATTGAATCCAGCAGCACATCGAAAAGCTTATCCACCAGGACTTTTTAAATGCTTTAAGCAGTGGAGGGGTCAATGAAATATGTATTGCCTCCTAACGTTAATGTTTCAAGAACAACTTTCATTTAAATATGGAAGCTAAGATTCGTTTCAAAAGTCTCATTACTCTATATTCATATCTCGTAAAAATACACTTACACACTTCCTTAGAAATGTAATTTGGATAAAAATAAGAATGTTTCCAAATAATCAAGTTTATTTTTTTACTAATAAAATAAGTTTATCGGTAAAAATAAGGCACTGAAATTTGGCCAAACATAACAAAGCAAATAAATAAAAACAATAAAATAGACAATATTGTTGACAGGATTTGTAATTTGTGTCTTTCAAGATTCATAAATGCTTTGCTGCTAATTTCTCAGACTTTCACCAGTGCAACACTGTAAGATTTGATAATGAGAGCATCCCTCACAAGTATGTGTAACTTATACAGTATTATCTTTGTGGGTGGTATGCTGGGATATTCTAAAAAGTCATTCTTTATTCCACACATAATGGAACCAAGTGCTGGAAGAGAGAAAGAAGAACATAGGAAGGAAAGAAGCAGCATTTGGAGAAACACCACATGATAGTTGAAAAATGTTTTTAGTTTCTCATTGTTTTATTTTTAAAATATATTTTATTGTGTTTTAGGTTTTGGGGTACATGTGAAGAACATTCAGGATTGTTGCATAGGTACATACATGGCAATGTGGTTTGCTGTCTTCCTCCCCATCACCTATATCTGACATTTCTCCCCATGCTATCTCTCCCCAACTCTCCACCCCCGCTGTCCCTCCCCTAGTTCCCCCCAACAGACCCCATTGTGTGATGTTCCCCTTCCTGTGTCCATGTGTTCTCATTGTTCAACACCTGCCTATGAGTGAGAACATGCAGTGTTTGATTTTCTGTTCTTGTGTCAGTTTGCTGAGAATGATGGTTTCCAGGTTCATCCATGTCCCTACAAAGGACATGAACTCATTGTTTTTTATGGCTATGTAGTATTCCATGGTATATATGTGCCACATTTTCCCTGTCTAGTTTATCATCGATGGGCATTTGGGTTGGTTCCAAGTCTTTGCTATTGTAAACAGTGCTGTAATGAACATTCATGTGCATGTGTCCTTATAGTAGAACGATTTGTAATCCTTTGGATGTATACCCAGTAATGGGATTGGTGGGTCAAATGGAATTTCTATTTCTAAATCCTTGAGGAATCACCACACTGTCTTCCACAATGGTTGAACTAATTTACACTCCTACTAACAGCGTAAAAGTGTTCCTATTTCTCCACATCCTCTCCAGCATCTGTTGTCTCCAGATTTTGTAATGATCACCATTCTAACTGGCATGAGATGGTATCTCAATGTAGTTTTGATTTGCATTTCTCTAATGACCAGTGATGATGAGCACTTTTTCATATGTTTGTTGGCCTTATGTATGTCTTCTTTTGAAAAGTGTCTGTTTATATCCTTTGTCCACTTTTGAATGGGCTTGTTTGTTTTTTTTCTTCTAAATCTGTTTTAGTTCTTTGTAGATTCTGGATATTAGCCCTTTGTCAGATGGGTAGATTGCAAAAATTTTTTCTCATTCTGTTGGTTGCTGATTCACTCTAATGACTGTTTCTTTTGCTGTGCAAAAGCTGTGGAGTTTGATTAGGTCCCATTTGTCTATTTTGGCTTTTGTTGCCAATGCTTTTGGTGTTTTAGTCATGAAGTCCTTGCCTATGCCTATGTCCTGAATGGTTTTGCCTAGGTTTTCTTCTAGGGTTTTTATGGTGTTAAGTTTTTTGTGTAAGTCTTTAATTCATCTGGAGTTAATTTTAGTGTAAGGTGTCAGGAAGGGGTCCAGTTTCTGCTTTCTGCAGATGGCTAGCCAGTTTTCCCAACACCGTTTATTAAACAGGGAATTCTTTCCCCATTGCTTGTTTTTGTCAGGTTTGTCAAAGGTCAGATGGTTGTAGATGTATGGCATTGCCTCCAAGGCCTCTGTTCTGTTTCATTGGTCTATGTCTCTGTTTTGGTACCAGTACCATCTGTTTTGATTTCTGTAGACTTGAGGAAGATAAACTCTTGTATTAACAAATAAATAGAAACAACCACAAATACGTTTGAATGGAGACTATTATGCATATTTTTCTTTGCTCCATTTCTTTTTCTTTCT